GTTACAAATTGCTTCTTAACCCATAATTTTGTCAAATTCCATCACAAGGAAACAAAAATAATGATAATTATATAATAAATCAAGAAAAGATAATGAAAAGTATAAATAAATATAAAAAAAGAATGACACAAATAACTAATATCCCAATTCCTTTTTTATTAATAATTAAAGATCAAAACATTTCAAAACTGCCAAAATATGCAACATCCATGATATCCTTAACAATAAATGGTTATAACAGATTCTAATGGTAACTTGTCTATTTCTTGGTAACAATCTGAATAACATCTTCATCAGTCATAATGTGATGTATACCAACCCGCTGGGGACTAAACTTCGTACTCCTTCCCTGAAAAAAATATATATACATTAGTCACTTTCCACAGCCATAACGAGAAACAAATAACAAATTATATATAAGATATCATACCATATAAACTTTAATTTTTTTTTTCTGCACAATTCAACAACTAATGGCACACTGTATAAAGTACATGCTCCTAAGGCCAACAAAAATAATAAATCAGTTATTAAATTTCAGCTCATGAGATAATGGAATTCCGTGTCTACATTCTTAACCCCAGTCTACCAAGGAAATATTCACAGGTAAAAACACCGGAGCTACTAAATACAACACACGTATACATAAATAACATGTAGAGTAAATCTGCCAATGGTAGACATTCTTTCAGAGCAGGTTTGAGTCATGCATTGACAGGTCTCTGATACCATGTGAATATATACAACCTATTTAATGTGTAATTTCACTTCTAACATACTCTTTTATATGTTGGCAATATATTTCTTAAAAGATATATACATATACAAAAATTAAAAAAAGTTCAATACATAATAAGAACAGATGAGCATACCCAAACAAGAGCATATTTGAAGACAGCTACAATTGACCGATGGATAGAGTGGCATACATGCTCCACTGAAGCTCCTCCTCGTAGGATGATGGGGTCAGAGAAGTCCGGTCCTCTTCCTGGCTTCTTGGTATAGATGCGCAGAAGGGAGAGAGCCTCCCACGTGCGGTCAAGCAGGTAGTCAAGGTTCAACTTCATGTTGCAACTGGAGAGAGATGTATGAAATGAATATTGGCACACTGTATGCTGAATACAAAAACCTATAATGTAAGTCAACTATTAGTATTATTTTGTCTGAAAATATGCTAAAACAATGTAAGGATAATGCCTTTATATCTTCAAGTATTTGATTTGACATTCAAAAATATCAAAGCATCCAGTAATAATAGCAGCAGCATTTGCTAACTGATGCTGTACTTAGAAAGGGAAGGCAACTAGTTAGTTTAGTACTAAGTAATCAACCCCTACAATCCAGATGACCTGACCATCATGTCAAGGTAAAATTTGGATTAAGGGGTAGGTGACTGAAAATTGCCATCATGAGAATTTCAGCTGAAGGCTAGGATGACAGGAATGACTCGCTATGAGTTACAAAACTCTTGGAGGATAATTTAGGAAGGGGCTTTTGCATTATTTCCATTGATAAATGAGTGTGGAGTATACCATCCATGAGCCATAACTGGAACAGTGCTGGCTCCAGGGAGGATGATATTTCTATGCCCAGGATCCTATTCTTGCCCACTGTGACTGGCAGTTCAGGTTGGATTAAAGAAAATTGGAAAAAAATATAAAAATGATACAAATAACAAAATGTTACTTATTGTTAACATCATTTAACTTCATTATTGACCACCTAGAGTGATGGAGTCTGTGCAAAAAAAACAGTTTACCACCTGGATAAAACAAGTCAAAAGACAAATATGGACAATGGAAAATTTTTAAAGAGCTAAAAATGCTCATGCCAAATTAGAGAAAATAACATTGCAAAGGACAGGCTGGAATCTTGTCACTGCATGAGCGTTTGTGTGCACCTGGCCTACAAGCCACGCACCTATCTGAGTGGCTGTTCAAAGAAGTCAAATGCCTCTATTATGGGCCATATGCAGGCAGTGAAGCATCCAGATCCAAGGAGTCAATAGCAGCTTTAGGAGCTATCGTCAGCGAACATCTAATTATGTACATATGCACTATCAAGTAGAAAAGATTATTCTGTGCATGATATTGCAAAAAAAAAAAAAAAAAAAAAAAAAAAAAAAAAAAAAAAAATCAGTGGCAAGAGTACGGCAGGAAACAGAACAAATATAAAAGCATTACATACTTAAATAACTCACCAACAAAAAGTACAAAGGAAAACTTAAATATGAAGAACTTACCTAACCACCACAGTATTGGGCGTGTGAGCAATTCTATCAACTTCTTCAATGGACACTTGATCGATCTTGTTGTAGACATAGAGGCACGGCATGTAAACGCGGTTGGCAGATATCACGTCAATCAAGTCATCAGCCCCACAATCTTCCCTGAATATAACCTGAAAATTAAATAAACCACTCAATAAATAATACACAATCATCATCAGCTTTTAATCTTTCCTAAATATAAGCTGATAATTAAACAAATCATCTAAAAATATCAAACAATAAATCAATTGACAAAAACAAACAATATTTTGCTTGACATTTCCAAAGTTGCACTACACTTATCTGCTAAAAACTATAATTACTTAGTTAATCCTATGCCTTCAGATGGCATGTATGTCATGCTGTGCCTAGAACAGCCATTTGGCTAGGAGTAAGTATGTCGTGCCACCATTACCCAAGTCTAATCCAAATATATTACCTTTCTATATATATAAATTCATTTCACATTCTATGTTCATATTTATGGCACTTTCCCTTTCCTTTCCAATGTCAACTTATGGTACTTTTTCTCTTTTAGTCTTCTCAATATGCAACCCGAAGCCATGATACACAGGGGAAATATAAAAATATCTTAAATTCTTCTTCAAAACCTCCCTATTCATACCTCAGCATTGAAAATCTTGTATTCATGTAGAATCATCTGTACCATCTTCTCATCAATCCTGGTGAGTGCGCATGTGGCATTGAATTTCAGGCCACCTGCTTTCTTTTGCTGCTCAGGCATGAAAAAGATCAATCAATTATTATTTGAAACATAAAGCAGATCCAGTAACTTAATTGTTTCTATTAAAACATTGTTTTCATGGATGATAAGTTTCAGAAGCCAAAAACAAAGAAAAATAAATGCAAATGTACTGTCAAATTTCTTGTAATGAACATCTTACTTTGAAATAGATTCCAGGTTTTTTCTTGTTCAGCCTGATGCCGACAGACTCGAGTTCAGCAGTCAACAGCTCTTTTTGATTTGCAGCTTTAGTAGCATCCACCATCATGATAACAAGATCAGCAGTGCGAGCTACAGCAATGACCTGTGAAGAAATTTGTATATTAGTAAGGTATAATAGCATAAACCATATGCAAGAAAAAATCATTAAACAATCTACCATAACTATATTTGCAACTCTATAGTGCAATCTGAATTCAGTGTCGATTTAAATGTAAGTCATAAACATGTTGCAGTAAATCATATACCGATAAAATGAAAAGATTCCATGTATAGCTGAACCATTTCAGTCAAAGCTTCCTAATACCTAGCCTATACACAACAACTCTTGGATAATCTATCATTCAGTAATGTATTTATATCAGTTTAACACTGTTTGGAAAATTCAAAAATAATATACACAAGCTTTCCAATTACACAATCCTGCATGTTTTAAAACATCAGTCAGGCATCGCATATCAATCAATCTTCCTATTAGCATGTTCTTGGTACAGAAAATCCATTCATTAATTCCTCACCTGTCTGCCTCGACCCTTGCCTTGTGAGGCTCCTTCAATGATACCTGGAAGATCAAGCAACTGGATGTTGGCTCCCTTGTAATCAATGACTCCAGGGATGCACGTCAGGGTTGTGAACTCATATGATGCTGCTGCACTCTGGGTGTTGGTTAAGGTGCTCAGCAGTGTGGACTGCAAACAATACCAATGACAGGACTCAGACACAAAAATGCGTATTTGCATGTCATGAAAACATGATTTACTTAAATGAAAAAGAAACTGATTATTAAATACTTCTATCAGTAACTCATTAACACTGGATCCAGGCCCAAGAGCAAGCTGGCAAATATCCATGCCATGCACAGTTGAGCCTGCTCCAAGTTGGTTGTCCTAAAGCAGTCCAATGTTTAAAGCCCATCACCATAGTCTTACAGTCTCTTTTAAGCCCCATTTTAAGCACTTGTAAGCACTTCATAGCTACAATTAATTGAGGTGCTGAGAACAGCAAAGTCCTATCAATCAAAAACTCGTTTTCATTTAATCAAGTTTATAAGTTTGAAACATATTATCTCTGGAATGATTGCATGAATTTTGTTCTGGTTTGTCTTAATTACTATTTCTATTCAAGGCCTTTTACATATGTTTGTACAATTTTTCAATGATGATAATTTTAAAAAATATTACCATTTAAAGACGGAACCCAATAGGTAAAATTACGATTTTTTTCACCAAATGAAAGGTTATTTTATGGATTGTTAAGAATGAATATTAAAATTCCATAATCTACATTCTAAGTACCTGTAAAAAATTACCAAGTTCTTTTTTGGGAGACCATAACAATGAGTGTAATCCAGCAAAAGTGCAGCAAGGTAGTGAGACTGAGGCTTCTCAGGAGTCCCTCAGGCAATGTGACTCTCTCACTGGAGGAATAAAAGTGTGTGATCTTTTGCATGACTGCAATTGGCTTGAGTTAGGCTCTGCATATTCTGAGATTCTGCTCCCAACCATTGAGCAAGGGGGCCCAAGATGATAACAGTGTAGGAGTATTTCTACAGCATTCTCATCCTTACACCCGAGCTCTAAATCCAAACTTTTGGAGCAAGGCTAAGAGTTAAAAGCCGGCTCTACATGATGGTAACTGTAATGCCCTACCCCCCTATTGGTTGATAGGCCTTTGTTATTCTCAGCACCATTTTGTTAAAATTATACATCAACATATAAACTACAAACATTTGTCCAAGGTTTGATCCATAGCATAGCCTTACATATAACAATCTAATGACTACTCACCTTGCCCACTGAGGGGAAACCAATTAGTGCTACACGGGCATCACCACTTTTCATAACATCGAAACCTTCTCCCTTTTCTCCTTTCTTGCCCTGTGGCTCAAGAAGCTGCGTCCTGTACTTGGCTAACTTGGCCTTTAGGACACCCAGATGGTACTCCGTGGCTGTGAGAAAAGACATAATCAGTAAGTTGTTAAAAATGGAAAATCAAATTATCTTCTTGTCTAATCACTTTATCTTACTGTATCTGTATATATGTATATATGATATAAATATATATAGATACTTAGATAGATAAAGATAGATAGATAGATAGATAGATAGATAGATAGATAGATAGAAAGATAGATACATCTGTATATATATGATATAAATATATATAGATACTTAGATAGATACAGATATAGATATATATAGATATATAAATATGTATATATATACAAAAATATATATACATATACATATATACATATAATATATATATATATATATATATATACATATATATACATTATATATATACATATACATATGCATATATACATGCATATACATGTATATAAATACATATATACATACATATTCATATATATACATGTAAATATAAAGATACACATAAACATAAACATGCATGTGTATATACATATATATGGATACACATTTGTACACATATATATGAATGTATGCATGTATGCATGTATGTATGTATGTATGCATGTATGCATGTATGCATGCATGTATATATATATGCATGTATGTATATATGTATGTATGTATGTATGTATGTATGTATGTATGTATGTATGTATGTATGTATGTATGTATGTATGTATGTATGCATGCATGCATGCATGCATGCATACATGTATATGTATATGTATATGTTATGTATTGTGTGTGTATATATATATATATATATAATATATATATATAATATATATATTATATATATATATATATATATATATATATATATATATATATATATATATATATATATATATATATATATATATATATATATATATATATATATATATATAATATATATATATATATATATATGTATATATACACTAATATAATATATATACATATATACTATACTTATATATATGTAATATTTATATATACATATATATAGTATGTGTATATATATATTTATATAAGTTATATATATACATATATATATACATACACTATATATATATATATATATATATATATATATATATATATATATATATATATATATATATATATTATATATATACATATATATATGCATATATATGCATATATATGCATATATATGCATATATATGCATGTATATATATATATGTATATATATGTTTATATGTATATATATATTATATATATAGATAGATACTTTATATATACATATATATAATATCTTATATGTATATATATACATATAAACATAAAATTTGGTACCACATATTTAAAAAACTGATTACTTGAAATTTTGAAATCTAACATATGATGTGTCATTACAACAGATATCACATATTCTACATCAAATTGTTATTACAAATCAGAGAAATTACAGAGCTTGGTATACACTTGTCACCTGGTAAATCATGGCCAATACAGTACCTTACTAGAGAAAAATTGGGGATGTCTGGTTACTTTAAAAGAGGGAACTGAAGATACATACTAGTGATCATTATTATCTTTATACTGTCTGAGAGCAGGTTCCATACAGTTAAGAATAGGCCTAGGCTACTGCCATCAGGGGTATTTACAGCATGAAATTATCATCATCATCTGGGAAAACAGTATATAATGTGACATCCTTATTATTGTATACATCCCTATGGCAATTTTCCTCGTCTCATCCATCCACTATGAATTTTCTGTAAATATATATAAAATCGCATCAGTTGTTTTACAGGATAGCACCAGCCACCAAAACATTTAGTTCATGCACTTTCCATGAACATCCAATTTAACAGAGTATTTTTAATTGTGAGAAAAGTTTACCTTAATATCTAAAGCAGAGCCAAGTCATTTCAAAATTGCCTAATCTTAAAAATCTGTACTCCTTAAAGTATTGTATAGCAGACTGTCATATTGATAGTTATTTGATTAACATTATCAGCAAAAGAAACTTGTTATAGCTCACAAGATATACATAATTTGAGGTAATGGACTCTAAATCTGTCGTAATTTCTCTCGGACTCTGAAAATTGCTGTTACTTTCAATACACATATGAATATTACATATAATAAACTCATTGCTATAATACATGTGTTTTTTCGGCCTCCTAAATTTAACAATTAACTTATTTATGCACTGTCAACTGATATGCCCTTAATACCTTTATTTTTCTGCGTTCGAGCGATTTCCTTTTCAATTTCGCCTATTTTTTCGAGGATACCCATCTTGAAATATGTTTTTTGGAGAAAAGAAAGAGATAGAAGATATCTCGTGTGACTGAGATGGCAGATTGTTTTCTTCTCCGGGTCGCGAGGGGTATCATCTTTGAAAAATTAATATATACAGAGAACAGCAATTTGCAAGGGATAATGCGATCGTTTGTCATTGTAAATTATTAGATGTTTCCAGCTATATTTGTGTCCCTTACGCCGATGTAATACATAAAAAATAGGGTTAAAACACAAATTGTATGAGAAAGGTGCTAGGTCAGCGGTGTAGTATCGAGGGCTCTCAAGAGATGGCGCTGATGTCCTGCCAGTGTCTTCTGCTACGTGATAGAAGAGAGATGTGTGGTTAACTCCTGGGTCCAATACGAGGATATAATACGTAGTAGTAGTAAATACCAAGCCTAGGATTATATAGAAAGGGAGTTTTAGATACAATCGTCAATTGTCAACCACCAAAAAGAAGTGTAAGCCGCTTTAGCATCATTCTTCCTTAGTGTGTGCTTAGATGTCAAAAGCCATCCGGCTGGGGATACCTCCTTAAAATCGCCTTTCTACCGTAATTAAACTCCTGTATTTACGGTAGAATCGGTACTATCTTGTGTAAGAAAATAATAAAATGTAAATGTGATATGAGTGATATTTATAAACTGCTTATGATACGACAGAGACTGTGTGTGCCTTTGAGGTTCATGTTTTATGCAGAAAGAGTAGTGTAAATTAGTAATGATGCAATATTAAATCATCATGTTTGGTTGTTTTCATTTGTAATGTTTATGTCATGACACGAATATTCTAATTTTGATTTTATGGTTTAGACTATAAATTGTTATTATTATTTTAACGTTACGCAGTGTTTTCATATTTAGAATTGGACATGCCATAATTTTCTGTCGTTACACAGGTACACACATAGTGAGGTTTTCCTTGTAAACTATAAACATTTTCTGTTTTGTTTTTTACTTTGTTTTATGAGGACGCACATTGTCCTCCTTTTGTTCTGTTATTTTCCCCACCAATAAACAAGTTTTTTTCATTATGTTCGTTTCTTTAACACATCGAGCAAGTTATTTTTTTATTATACTAAGTGAAAGAGTAAGTGGGTGCTATTCATCAGCATGACTATGGTACAGATTATTGTTGTTATAGATGTCACACGAAGAGAATATAATTAGTATGCATTAGACGTGATATGTAACAATTCTCTGCTACACATTTAATCGCTCTTCTCGGAATAGTTTTCAGACATGCACGATTGTTGAGTGTTATGGAAGGCAAATTCTTGATTAAATGGTAAAATATCCTTTCGTGTTGATTGAATGGCATAATAAAATAAACTACAAATATATATGCGTACCCAAGCTGCGCCGACTTTGAGCACAACGCATCAAATTTGGGACAGATTTTGTGTGTGTGGGGGGGGGGGTCCTAGCTATAAAGTTTAAATGCCATTTGAAAGATTAGTGAATGGTCACGCTTCATTACCACTCGATCAGCATATAGCGAAAGCATAAAATGACTCCGATGTTAACCAGAACATTATTTTGATAATTGTCATATATATCTGATTACCACTTTGTCCAGTAGAGTTTTGAACTTCGATTGCTGAATGTTGCAAGCGAATCAAAATTACACCCCATTGGTTCGTTAAATATGTAAAAAATCGTTTCATTGTTTATATTCCATATTTTGGGGGTATTTCCAAAGTTTTGGTGTATTGACTACACTTATGTATTATTGTTTTAATGTATTATTGTTTGACCTGTGGAGCTTTGATTGGACATTGGATGTGGATGTGTGTGCGTGCGTGTGTGTGTGTGTGTGAGAGAGAGAGAGAGAGAGTGCGCGCGCGCAAAGAAAGTTTCAATGCGAGGAGACACAGTGAAAACAGTAATTAATTGAAATTAATAAATTTTAAAAAGTGGTGCAGTATAAACCGATTTGACTTGGACTTCGCATTATGTGAGTGAAATAATAATGATCCAGAGACGGTCGGGTTTAATTTTGGCTGCGATGTTTATAATTTGTATTTGATACATTGGTGTTCCAAAAGAACACACTCTCTTCCATCATACTTTGCACATGAGACTTCACAACCCAGTCTAATCCACATTTTGGCGGAATTGGTAAAAGGGTAAAAGCATTATTCTGCTTTTATATGAAGAGAAGAAAGCACCGCATTCTTTTGACACTTGTTTTCTTCATGCAACAGCAGTGTACAGTACTTAAAACTGAGGTGTATTCTAAACCTTTCTTTAAACATTTAAACCTTTCGTCCGTATTTAATAGTATGAACATTTCTAGGTATTAGGGAGTCTTTGTTTCCGTCTTTTTAGTTTGCATTTTTTATCAAAAGAAATTCGCTGAACGAGAGTCGTATCTGGGGAAATTAGAATCGACCAAGGTAACATGTCCGTAAATAGTCTGTTACATATTTTGCGTGCACGTCCATTCGAGAATTTAAGTTCGATGCCTCCAATACATACCGGGTATTCATTATCAACTGCCGATATCTGGTCCCGGCGTTGGTGGCCCCCCAGTGAGTGAAACTTCTTCGCCAGACACCATACTCTGCTCAATGACGCCCGAATCGCAGTTCACCTTGAGTAATCTCACGAGAGAGTCTCTTCTTGGTTCTCGGTATTTTCTCTTCTTCACTCTCTCTGCCCTTCTCGTCTGTTTTATGCTGATGTATTTTCTTATGATGTATTCGATGTATTTGTATCTCTGTATTTTTTCCCTTTCCATATCCCTTTCTTCATCCTTTTTCCTCCCCTGTCGTACCAGCTATCCCCCTTTCTCTCTCTCTCTCTCTCTCTCTCTCTCTCTCTCTCTCTCTCTCTCTCTCTCTCTCTCCTCTCTCTCTCTCTCTCTCTCTCTCTCTCTCTCTCTCTCTCTCTCTCCCTCCCTCTCCTCCCTCCTCCCTCCCTCCCTCTCCTTGGTTCTGTTTTTGTTGACTCTTCTCCCTCTCTTCCTGCCTTTCTTTATGTTATTTTCTATTTACCAATTCGCCTGCCTCGTACTTCAACCCCAAATGAACAAAGTGCGCAACTACGTACCTGCCTCTTATGAAAATTAAACTTGAAAAAATATGTACGAGTAAAATGGGGATTGCCAGACAAGAGATTTCCGCGGTTGAGCTCTAATGGCATGTATGAAAGAGGCGATGTGCATGTGCTTTATTCACTAATGCATGTAGCTCCTCTCAGGTCCTCACGCCAGAATCATGCAGGTGTTACTCATATATGCCAGCCCCCGTACCCTCCCTCTTCCCCCCCCCCCCCCCACCCGGGCTATCAGCCACGCCCTTGTGTGTTAATGGTAGCATGCATGGCACATGCCATTCCCAGTAGCAGTGATCCATCTGTTCATGTCAAAATTAATTATTTCTTGGTGAAAATATTAATGTTTTGTCTCATTATTATTATTATTATTATTTTATATTGCCTGTTAGCCTTACAGATTCAAGTGTTCTATGTTACGCTATGTTATTCTTAGGACAATCCATTCTCCGTTTTTAGGATTCATGTTATCTACTCATTTTCACTCTCTCAGTTTGGTATTATAGCCTGTCCTTGAAATAGGTATTGCAAGAAGCATCCGTGGATATTTACATTAGTGCGTGTATTCAAGAGCTTCATCTGAAGAAACGTTTAATGTAATATTTAGTATGTAAATGTTTTACTTTCATGAATTTCAAATGCGTGCGCGCTCGTGTGTGTGCGTGCGTGTGTATGTGTGCGTGTGTGTGTGTGTGTGTGTGTGTGTGTGTGTGTGTGGTGTGTGTGTGTGTGTGTGTGTGCGCCGCGCGTGCGCATACACACTCACGTACATGTTTCGTGTACGCAGAGACATGAAAACATACGCGTGTGATTTCGGTATCATTGCCTTTCTGTACAGCTTTTTAAATCTTTATTTATAATGCTTTGTTGTAGTCCATATATATTTATATATATATATATATATATATATATATATATATATAATATATATATATATATAATATTTATTTATATTATTTATTATTTGTATATATTTATTTATTTATTTATTTTATTACGTATTTGTTCATCTTAGTGTTCACCCTCACTGCTGTATGTAAAATGTGCACCTATTCCCTCTTGCAGCTTCGTAGAACCCCTTAAAAATTAGTGGGCAGATCTGCAAGTCCTTTTGCATTTATCTATAGATGACTCTGGTATGTCGATACTTAACACAGTGAAATATACTTTTTCATTTATATATTGAAATTACACGATGTTTGGTAAAACACAACAATTGCAATGTCCTGCCAAATGATAAAGAAAGACTAAGAAGTCTACTCTATCAAAATATGTATGTATAATGTGTATTTTTATCTACAACTATCTCTCTCTCTCTCTCTCTCTCTCTCTCTCTCTCTCTCTCTCTCTATATATATATATATATATATATATATATATTATATATATATACATATATATATAATATATATACATATAAATATATAGAGTATACGTATACATGTATATATGTGTATATATGTATATAAGTATATAAATTGTATCATATGCTGAATATTACAAAACTGTCATTAAAAGTTCTACACGAAAAGGACCATAAACACAGACAGACAGGTGAAGCATAACATTACCCTACATACATTAATTCCCTGTCCTTTGTTTACCAGAACTCTAAAACGAGATAGTTATCGACAGTCACCTATTAAGCACGAACTTCCGCTCACGTATTGATCGAGTTGTGTGGGACCCCTTAGCGAGGCTGTTGTGTGTGAGGCTTTTGTGTTATTGTTCAAAGGGTCCTATTTGGGGATTACAGCGTGTCAGCCAATTGTGCGATCCTTTTGTAGGGCCGTGTAGCTTGTTTATGCCGCACTTGGTCGTCTGTTTTATGAAACCCTAAACCATTGGTGCTTCGGGGCACAATGTACTGATTTTAGGGTGAGGATACGAGCGTGATTGGTGATCGGGAGAGCACTGTACCATGTTGGTAAAATGGCAGGAAGACTCACTCTGTGCAAAATAAACTTTATTGTTTATGGTGTGCGTATCCGGCTCTGAGACTGCAGTGGTTTTT